GTGTGTGTGTGTGTGTGTGTGTGTGTGTGTGTGTGTGTGTGTGTATGTGTGTCATTAAAAATGTATAACATCTCTCCAAACAGTGTCCTGACAAGCCACTCATGCTCATTGGATATCAGTCATTAAAATTTAGCGGAAAGGCAAAGCATGGCCTAGGCAGCTATCAGGTTACTCATTCAGGCTACGGATGAATTTTTCAAAGTCCTCTTACCTCTACAGGCACCGCTGCTGATGTCTCAAGGCTGTGCGCTCTGACATTGCTGTTGTGCGTTTCTGCCGTTATTGTAGCCGGGGTGTGACAAAAGCCAAATCAGCAATAACAACATGACTCTCAGGGTGACTATACTGATTCATTTAGTACTGCTCTTTGACAAGGCTGATTCTAAAAAAGGTGAGTTGCCATTCTTTATCTTGATGGAGCAATGCTTAAATTTCATGGGAGTGCTTTATCTTGCAGGTACTGTATATAGAGAGAATGGTGGGATCCAATTGTTCAATGTCAGCTTGTAATACACTTTCACGGTGAACCATGACTTCTTTCTCTGAACTGAAATGAAATGTTTTTTCTGTTTTGTTTTGTTTATTTTTTGTCATTATAAGGAGTCAAATGTGGAGGAATCCTCTCTGCTCCATCTGGCAATTTCTCCAGCCCAAACTTCCCAGGCCTATACCCCTACAACACACACTGTTCCTGGCTAATTGTGGTAGCAGAGGGCTCCTCTGTCCTCCTCACTTTCCACTACTTTGAGCTGGAGTACCACGCAAGCTGTGCTTATGATTACATTAAAATATACAATGGCATATCTGAGGATGAAGGGAACCTCCTCGGGACATTTTGTGGGGACATCTCTCCACCTCAATTCACCTCTTCTTGGAATGTCATGTCCATCATCTTTCATTCAGACCGCCATGTGGCCTACAGGGGCTTCACTGTTGGCTACAGAAAAGGTAGCTCGTTACACTTAATGCAATGTGACAGGGATAGTTGGCCAAAATTTGAGTTGATTTTGTCCGGCCATGTTTAGACAGTTTAGGTCGTGTCTTGTAAGTGAAATTTCTTGGTTTTGACCTCACTTAAATATTGTATATTATATTCAATTAGAGCTCATTCGGATCCTAGTGGCTGCGTAGATGAGCACGGTGGCACGGTGGTTAGCACTGTTGCTGCACAGCAAGAAGGTCCTGAGTTCAATTCCACCATCAGGCCGGGGTCTTTCTGTGTGGAGTTTGCATGTTCTCCCCGTGTTTGCGTGGGTTCTCTCCGGGTACTCCGGCTTCCTCCCACCGTCCAAAGACATGCAGCTTGTGGGGATAGGTTAATTGGATAAGCCAAATTGCCACTAGGTGTGAATGTGAGTGTGAATGGTTGTCTGTCCCTATGTGTTAGCCCTGCGACAGACTGGCGACCTGTCCAGGGTGTACCCTGCCTCTCGCCCTATGACAGCTGGGATAGGCTCCAGCACCCCCCGCGACCCTGAAAAGGATAAGCGGATGGATGGATGGATGGATATTCAATTAGAGCTCATACGGATCCTAGTGGCTGCGTAGATGAGGCAAATTTCACAAAACCATAATGCTCACAGTGAACATATTATTGTGTTTACAATTTAGTTACTGTTTTATTTTCTAAAAGTTGCAGAACTATTAGCATGACTATAAATGCCTGAATTGTTGCCTAAACTTTGGACTAACAGTTAGCTATAAAAATGCAGCACACTGAATAGAAAGCGTGCATGTGGTTTCCAATGCAAATCTAAATCTGCATTTTTTCTTCTCTAGATATGTGTGGTGGAGTCCTGACTGGACTATCTGGAGTAATCTCTAGCCCAGGCTACCCCCAGGAGTATAGCAACAATGCCGACTGCTCTTGGGCCATCCATGTGTCTAACACAAGTGTGGTCACCTTGGTATTTTTGGACTTCCAGCTGGAAAACAATGAAGGATGTAACTTTGACTTTGTAGCCCTGTTTGACGGCCCAACAGTCACGCACCGGCATCTGGGTAAATACTGTGGGACAGATAAACCCCCCAACATCATCACTACTTCCAACCAACTTCTTGTAGTCTTCAAGTCTGACTTCAACATTGGGGGACGTGGGTTCAAGGCCTACTATTATTCAGGTAGGTGAATTTGATTTCGGCTTTCTCACATCAATATGCAAAGTGCTTTTGTATTTTTTCTCCTTGAGTGTTCATGTTTTTGGTGTAAATGCAGAAACCTAAAGGTAATTTTTTTTCAATTATCAACAATTTGACATTCGACCTAAAGCAAATTATGTTTAAAAACTTCTGTTCACTCACAGAACAGAAAATCTACCTTGAAACCCACAAAAAAATCTATTTCAAAAAGCTAAAGATCAACAGGGAACATTTTGTGAGAATGTTGGATTTTAAAAAACAGAGAACAATGGATTTTATTAGTGGCTAAAGGTATTGCAGCTCGACTGAAACAAGCCACAGGAGATATCAAGAGCATGAAACAATATACCCTAACAATCTGATCAAATAGAAGCATTTCAGTTGCAAAGAAAAAAAATCCTCTTTCATAGAAACTGGGTAAACACCACCATCATAAACACAAATGTGAAGGTCCTTGACTGGTCTAGGGACACTCGAGTTCAGTCGAAACTGCAGAGTAACTTTTAGAAAGCTGCTCACAGACTGTGCCCATTTGACCTTGTTGAGCATAAGCCAGCTGGCAAAAAGGATAAAAAAAAAAACTTGAAGAGACACCTGTATAAATGCCATATATAACCCCCAGCCCATCACAGATCTAACACAGAGAGGCAGACAACCACACACTCTAATAGTCACACACGCAGCCAACTTACAGTCACTGATTAAATCAGTCATATAAACATGTCTTTGGTCTGTGGGAGTTAAACAGAACATCTGGAGGAGGCTCTGGTAATGTCATTTGCCCATTTAAAATTTATTTGCCAGACACAGTGACCAGGATCTTAAACATAAACTTTTAGTCCGAAACTTACATGAGGCTGGATGGAGAGGATGAAGTACAAAAAAAGCCAATCATAAAATGAACGCAGTGCAGCAAGCTAACATCTGCAATCCAAATGACTATCTGATTGGCTGTACTTTAATAGGTGAGTGCCAGCAGGTGCTGTCTCATGTGAGTGGCAACTTTAGCAGCCCAAATTTCCCCAACATCTACCCAAACAACATTAACTGCCACTGGAGCATCACTCTAGCCGCAGGCTACCGCATCAAACTCTTCTTCCCCTTAATGGACTTGGAGGACCGCAACAGTTTATCAGATGAGTGCGACTATGACTCTGTCGCAGTTTATGATGGGAATAGCCAGACGGACGCTCTGATGGGACGCTGGTGTGGCAGGGAGCATCCTTCTTCTCTCGTCTCAAAGGGCAACAAGTTGCTGGTCGTGCTCAGCACAGACAGAAATGAAGCACACAGAGGATTCACCGCTTCTTATCAGGGAGGTAAATATTCCTTGTACAGGCGTATGATTAACTTCTAAAATATCTTTTTGTTAACTTTTTCCATATCATTCTTATGCTGCTCTTAAAAAGTGTGATTTTTTTTCCTCAATCCAAGTGGTGCCTGTAAATGTTAGCTGCACAAGATCAGAATTCACCATTGTGATACCCCAGCAGTCCTTACCTCAGCTGGACCGTGAGAGCATCTACTTAGGAAACCCGACCTGTACAGCGCAGTTAACGACCACTTCATACAAGATAGTGGCTCAGTTTGTCGACTGTGGTACTGCCAGCCAGGTGACTAACATGTTCTCATTTACTGGCACACTATAATAGGCAGCAATTTGCCCTATTTAAACTGCTAAACATTTGTTGCAGACACTTGCGACTTGCTTCTATTAATACTGTATCTAATGATCCCTTACAGAAACATCGGAACATCACCATGCTTGTAAACAAACTCTACATTGATTTCTCTGATGGGAAGCAGGAAAATGTACAAGAATATAAATTGCAGTGCGATGCCCTGCGGAAAATAGCATCAGTGTCCATCATTTCTGCAGAGGAGCGTCGTCTGGAGGAGCAGGCCCAGCAAACTGACAATGGTAGCAGTGGCAGTGAAGGGGATCCAGAAGCTGAGCCTCATGATTTGAGCGATATTGTCTTTATTAGCATTTGTGTTCTGGCCGTTATTCTCATGGTTATAGCTATTGTTTGGCTAGTGCTTCTTTAGATATATATATATATATATATATACACACACATATATATACACACACATATATATACACACACATATATATATGTGTGTGTGTGTGTGTGTGTGTGTGTGTGTGATTATATTAGCTCTTCTTCATCAAAGACAGGACTCCAGCGCTTAAGTTGTCATGCTTTAAATCATGTTTCGTATAAAAATGTTCATTTACAAGACAAAAAAACAATGCACCTGTTGAAAAAAAATGCCTACATTATTACATTAGAAAAAGGAATAGCATTAATATCATCACCTACAGTATTCTTTACAATGATTCATGTGCAGTTGCAAAAAGTGCTAGGCTACTGATGTGCCACAAAAAGATTTTTTTTTTACTTCTTTACAGAAAATCAAGAAAACAATAAAAATAAAATGTAAAAAAATGTGTGCATAAAATCCTTCTCCAATTGTATTAAAACTATTTTCCATATACAGCTGGCTCTACATAGTTTATTATTCTGTTATTTTTTGTATTTAGAGACCAGCTTGTTGACTGCTATTGTGCTGTTCTTCACCTGAGTTCTGACCTCAGGGTTGTGTTTGAAGGCAAACACAAGTGCTCTAACAGTCCGTCTGTATGAAGTGCTGACCAGTCGGGAGCTCTGGTGAAACACTTCCCTCTCGATGTTGTCTATAAGACCAGAATCTTCCTGTAGGTGAAAGATGAACAGAAATATTTCAGGAATGAGTCAGACAGACAACAAGTAGCAGTAAGATGAACAAGCATTCAGATACTTCTTATAAAGAACATGCCAGTGCTGGGAATGTAATATTTTAAATTAATAAATGTGCATAAGTTAAAATACACTCGCAAACAGCGATCAATAAATCATATATGCTGATTTTCAGGCTTACATTCAACATGTAACATGATAAGGAAGGAAACGGGAAGAAATGAAAATAATTTTAAAAAAAAATCTTTCTAAAGCCATGTTTCACGATTGCCCTGAGATTCTCCATCTTACCTTGACCTCTAGTGCTTCAGACATGAGCCTTCTAGCGTTGCTCCTGAGTCCTTCAGACTGTTTGTCCGAGCGCACTTCAATGGATGGCTTATTGGAATTCTCCTCGATGAACGTCCTCCAGTCCGTGTAAACCTTTGCTGCCATTGAACTTACTTCGGGATCCAGATGCTTTCGCATTTTGTTGACAGTGTGACCTTAGCAGAGAGATGTTTTGATTACGTATGTGAATATTGTGAATTTGACTGGCCTGGCATTTATGAGGAGAACACTGTTTTAATGAGTGGTTTGCTCTTCAGAGTTATAATTCTCATGTAATAAGAGAGTAAAAGCAAACTCAGCTCACGTGTAAGCTGTTATTCATGTTATAAAGGTCGGTTGTGCAATCTTTGAACTAAAATGGAAACTTAAATGACTTTCTAACGACAGCCCATCTGTATAAAGAGTTATTAAAAATTGTGTTTACCTATTTTCGTGGACTTGAGCACCTCTTTGGAAGGGACCTTCTTACTCAGCTCTTTCAGGGCAGTCAGCAGGTTGTCTTTGCTCTGTTCTGGCAGCTCCAGCATTGACTTGTAACGCATGATGTCCTCAATAACAACCACTCGCTTTACGAAACACAAAAGGCAAGCAATTACTACATAAATGCGTTAACACACAATACATGCATGCCTAATGTCTTACCCGTAGAGATTCAATTGTAGTCTGTTTGTACACCTTTTCGTCTGTCTTCGATTTTTTAGGTGTGTCTCCCTTAGGAAGCCGCACTACAAACTTGTCCATGTTCAAAGGCAAGCCAGGAAGCTCCTTTGTAGAAAGAATGAGATTGACAAATTTTAATACAACAGTTTGACTAAAAAGAAGCCGATTTCCTACGTGGTTCAGCTAACAGCTACTTTCTGCCTTTCGGGTAACGTTGTCTAACTCAAGCCAAATTTAACTGAATAAATGCTTTGCCAGTGTTAATTATGTAATTCCGCTATAGTCTACTAAAGGATAGCTCCATATTATCGCTACAACTGCGATAAATACTCTCTTTGATAGAGCTAACAGTAGCTGGATGGCTATGGTAAATAATGGCAGTGGCAATGTTGCCTTTACGTACACTCGGAAACAATGAATCTCTTCAGCAGATTAGAAAGATGTGGAAGCCCTCGTGTACAAAATTTCAGCAAATAAATGACCAACGTTTTATATAATATGAATATTAATTTTAAAGTAATATAATACTATTATTATATTAGTATCATCGCTGGTATTCTCAGTAAAATGTCTTTTGAATAATTTGGCCTTATCTTCCTCTCTGACTTCTCGGATATCAGTCTTTTTTTTTATTTATTATTTTTGCTTCGGAAAACAATACAAATGAACACAGTGATTTTTTTTCCACGATTTATTGTTTGATTATTGTTACTGTTAGGATTTTAGGGTTTTTTTTAGTCAAAATATTATTGTTGAGTATTTGTGGATATAGTTTACAAAGAAAAAAAGAAGACAGAAAACACAAACTGTTTACATTGAATACAAAACAGAACTTCTCATGTTGGAACATTGTTTTCCAAACAAGATTTTAGGGTTTTTAAACCTAGCAAACCTTAAATTTAGCAAACTCTGAAAAGAGTCTCGCGCGAGATAAAGTTCCCGCGAGAACACAACCCGATAAGGAGAACGAGGAAGAGGATCGTGTTATTTGTTTAGGTTTTGGCAGGCGAAATGGGGTCTCTTTCCTCAATTGTCTGCACTTTGGGACTCGCCGTCCTGTTCGCAAGCACCTTAGTATCTTCAGATGTATTTGACAGCGTCTTGGGAAACACTGCGTCCTGCCATAAATCATGTGAAATGACATACAGTTTGCATACCTATCCTCGGGTAAGTTGTCATATTGAAAAGGAAAGCGACTGCTGCTACCATTAGCTAGCTTTTGCGTTTAATAAGTAAACAAGCGTGTGTTTTTTCCTTTTTTGCAATGCATTTTTCTTCAGCGAATATTGTTTGTGAAGGACAAGTTTTGAAAGTGCGTCATCTTTCAGCTGGATATCCTTGTTTGTCGAGTCATTCAACTGGTCCTCCCGTTTGTTTTTTATTGTACAGGAGGAAGAACTATATGCCTGTCAGAGAGGCTGCCGCCTGTTCTCCATTTGTCAGTTTGTCCGTGACAGCGAAGATTTAAATCAGACCAAATCCGAGTGTGAATCAAGTAAGCTATGCACTGACCCAGTTAATTCACAGCTGTGCTGTCGAAGAGGTTTGCTAACTAATTACGTGCTATGCTCGTAACAATAAAGTATTTCTTACAATCTGCTTCCGTTTTAATACATCCAGTTCCATGGTGTAAGCTTGCTCTAGAGACTCTTTGTTCTGTATCCACAATCCAGTTTGATCTGTTGGCTCTATCATCTATTATCGCTCACCTCTTTCAAACTTCTGCAGCCTGTCACGAAGCCTACACCCAGTCTGATGAACAGTATGCATGCAACCTGGGCTGTCAGAATCAGCTCCCCTTCGCTGAGCAGCGAAATAAGCAGGTATGACTGTGTATAACGCATTCACGCAGTGGCTTCCACAGAACCATCTGCAGTATTAGTAGTTTTTTTTTCATAGTTAGTTCAGATTCAGTGAATGCATTTAACTAAAGTTTAAATGCAGAGACTTGAAATTGCTTTTGCAACTTTACTGTAGGGATGGCTTTGGTACTGGAGCATGCAGCTTTCATTTAGGTCAGCTGTTTGATCTCTCTTGATTCTGTATTTGTTGCACTTCAGCTCCCACTTTTAAAATAATCCTTTGTTCAATATGTTTGTTTGTTTTTTTTCCCCCAGTTGGAGAGCATGATGCCTAAGATTCACCTTCTGTACCCATTGACTTTGGTCCGAGGTTTCTGGGATGATGTAATGAGTCAGGCCCACAGCTTCATCACTTCCACATGGACTTTTTACCTCCAGGCTGATGATGGCAAAGTCATCATTTGCCAGGTAAGTAAAAGAAAACCAACCCCCTAATCTACCAGATGCAAAACAACGCACTTCACCCTGGTAATGTGCAAATGTAATGGAGCAAAATGACTAGGAAAAATAAATAAATAAAAATCTGCCCTATATTTAACAGGCTGTACCTGAAATCAAGTTCTTCTCCCAGTTTGAACTGGAAAAATATGTTAAAGAGGAACCTCAGAAGAGCTGTAAGAGTTTCATTCATCCTCTTAAAAAATAAAGTAATTAGTTAAGGACAAAAGTAGTTTTGATCTCAAAGAATGTGTTAGGTTAAGGCAGACATCACTGAATATCTTTCTGAGTTTGGTTTCTTGTTTTCAAGTTCCTGGACTGAG